AATGTCCCAGGACTAATCCTCATTTCCTTTTTGCAGGGAACATTTTTGCGTGAAGCCCTCAAATTGTAGAGCTTGATTCATGTTCCAGATCCCTTTATGGTATGGCAAACCGGGCAACAAAAAACATGCAACTCGTAGTGCAACACTGCTACAAAACGAGTTGAATAGCAATGTTGCACAATTACCTCGCAGATTGCCTGCTCAGTAACATCATTCCGAAGAAGAAAGAAACAAACTATCTACTCAGAAAAAAAAAAGCGCTCATCGGCCAGATATAAAGACTGATAGATTTAAGAATGTTTTTGTAAATAAGATAATTTTTAGATATAATCTTTGATCTTTCTATTATTTGTATACAGTTTGTCTTATGTATTTTCAGATTCTCAACTGCTGATGTAACTTAAGATATGTCTTTTTATCTTAGGAGAATAAAGATTGATTGATTGATTGATTGATTGATCAAACCTGTCTTCCAACAAGTCAAGTTGTTAACAGGTTTGAACAAGGGTGGCAAAATGCGTAACATAGCTTTTCAACTTGTTTTGCAGCAATATGTTGCTAAACAAGTTGCACATCTTGGTTGTCTGATTTACCCAAACTTTAGGCTGTGCACTCACCAGGTTCTCCAGACAAGCTAACTGTGTACATGAAAACTCTAACATCTACTTCTCAAACTGATTCATAACACATCAGGGCTCGAAATTGCGACCGATACAGTCGCCAATGCGACTACCATTTTCTCCTTGGTGACTAAAAATTCTATTTTAGTCGCCAAAGTGGCAACCTAATTTCTCTATGATTTAGATTTAAGTTAAAAGAGTAAAGTTAAAGCAAACATTTCATCTTATTCTGCTTTGCTTTCATCATAAAAAATGTGCCAAATCGCATACACAAAGCCAGTTTACCTCCAAATTTATAGCGACTTCTATCAACGATATTTTCAAATCTGATGGATCACACCATACTATGCAGGGCTTTTGATAGGTCGCCGAAAAAAAGTCCAATTTCGCGGGATTTTGGGGGGCAAATTCATGGAAAAATCGACCGATTTGCGGGAATTTTCAAGGCAAACTTAGCCGAAAATCAATCCATCAAAAAAGGCAGATTTTGTGGTTATTTTTTAGAGGCCAATCCGTTTAGGGCTGACCAGACCAGCGTTTTTAATGTTTTTCTAACAGAGGTCATCATTTGCTCTTTCAACAACAATACGCTCCAGAACTTAAAACCAATGGCAAAGCCTTTAACATCATGGCTAGTACCCAGTTTTTCGCAACATAATCTACACCTGGTAGTTTTGGGACATTGTTTGCACATTTCAGTGACGAAGTTTCAAGATAAATTTACAAGTTTACGGCAACTAAATAACCCCAATAACTGAGAAATATGTTGTACAAACATGTAGTTGATACGATTTCTACCAAATTTTGCAGTATTTTGCGCGTTTTTGTGAATTTGCGGCTCTGCAACAGCACAAAATATCGGAAGCCCTGACTATGAGCTGCGTCATTTACATTATACAAACTGGCGACTAAAAATTTGCATCTGGCGACTATATTTCTCCAGTTGGTCGCCAAAAGGCGACCTGAGGATTTTTTTAATTTCGAGCCCTGCACATGGTCATACTCATCTCTTAAAACAGCTGAGCCTCATTTCACAGGGGAAGACTTACTTCAACAGATTAAACACACAGCTAAGATGAAGAACATGTAGTTAAGGACATCTTAGAAACAACTTAAGTCCCTAGATTTGAGCAGATAAACAAACTTTCATCATCAACAGTATAACTATTCAATGTCCTTACCAATCTGTGATTCTAAATCACGTCTTGTCTGTGCACGTCCTCTATCCACCTGAGGGGTAGGGTCTGGAGTTCTAAATACTCCTGCAGTTGCTGGCACAGTAGGTAAGGCACCTGTTGTAAAGGTATCAGGGGGTTTTGGCCAAGTTGGTTGGTCCTGAGTACCTACAGGTTAAACATGGATAAGCAAAGAGACAATGAGACAACTAGTAGCCAACATGAATGTTCATCACCAAGCCTCATTTAAGGATAAAACTCTTTGCATTTACATCAGCAGTATGTAGTATCTCTCACAACCTTTTATCTGCATTTGAAGTTTATTATGTTGAAACCTCATAAGTTCACCATTAAAGTGAAATGTGAAGGTCTGAAGTAACTATGTATAACAGCTATTTCTGCCGCAATTTAACCAACTGCTGTACCTGGTGCCTAAATTAAGTTTAGCATTTCAGTGCACAGGAGATGGGGTATTAGGGACCTTCTCAGTTTCACATCCTGATCGCAGCTTTCAATTCAGTGTTTGCTCTTGGAATTTACATTATTTTCTGTTCTGTTTTACTGTCCCTGCCCTTGTTTTTAGTTTTGCTGCACTGGTCCATGTGTGAATTAGTGCAGTTTCTTGAATGTTTTAAATGAAGTACATGGACGAGGATGTTCAAAGTTCTTTTGTTTTAATGAAAGCTGATTATGTGATGCCCTTTCTGATCACAGAGGAGTACAGTTTTTTTGTTCACAGAGATTTTGCTGGGTTGTTGTAGGATCTGCCTCTAAGCCCCCACTTCCCAATTTCATCAAGGAAAAAATAACCACTGTCACAATTGCAGGCATAGCCTTAAAACTTGAACATCCATCCTTGCCATCTGTTGCAACAGACAAAAAGAAACAGTTCCAATGCCTTATATAGTCTTACATAACAAAACTGGACCATTATTATTAGAGTGCAATTGACAAGAGGATAAGTTTTAGCCTTTTAAAAAGATGGCAAATAGCATGACATATCCCCTTTAATCCCTACTTCCCAACCTACTACATCTTTAGAGCTTAACAAAGAACATCACTTTTCAAACAGGACTATTCTAATTACCTTGCAAAGAGCGAAGCGTATGCTGTATTATGACAGCAAAATTGTTCCCATCAGTATCGGGACTGATGCGCAGACCATAATACAGTCCTTGCAGGTCAATACGTATTTGATGCCATGAAGGTTCAGATACATGGTAAGTTACCCGCTCAGATAAAGTAATGTTAATCGTCACCTACACAGAGGAAAATAATACAAGAAACTTACTGTAGTCTCCTTTAAAGTTTTATATAGAAGTAGCATCCACAATCCCTTTATCTGCCACATTGGCCTTTAATTTATAGTGAAAATTTATTTTATAAATTAATTGACTTAAAATGTCACATGCAAGCCGCTGCTTACTTTTGTCATTAACCATGTCACCATGAACAATAATCACATTATCTTGGCAAATAAGTCTGTTTCTCTCTCATTATGAAATACATCACTCATCAATATGCTTTTTTGGTATCCATATTACCAGTTTTTGATGAAACCCAACAAAACAGTTCTAACTCACAAGGCCTGTAGACACTTTAAGGGACTTTGGGGAGCCATACCTTTGTGAGTTTTCAACCTTTCACTCTCAAACTTGGCAACTTCCCTGATTTTAAGGCTTCCTTCCACTGGCATTAATGGATTTTTATGAATATTATTATTATTAAAATAAATTATGTCAAAAGCTGAAAAAAGGTGGGAATGTGGAACTGTGGTCTCCATTATTAAGGAGTAGATAAGCTTAATTTAAACTGAAAATATGTAAACTTTCCTTATTATGTTCAAATTGGCCATCTCTGAGTGAGCAAGATAAGCCCATCTTGTCTGCTCAGGATTTCCCATCTTGCCCCACAGGTAGCCCAAGCTCACTATGAGAGCCCTGAACAACATTATCCTACTTAGCTAATTAATTATTCATACGGCGAGAAAATTATAAGACGTTGTATGGAGAAATATTCTTTGCTAAACTAAATTAGCAAATGTACATTGAATATCGCTTTGAAGCTTACCTTTAGCGTCTTCTTGTTTCTCTTTGTATTCTGACTGCATTTCAGACCTCTTAGACACTGTTTAAGGCCTTTTTTGGAGCGACAGTTTTTCCCCCAGATGACAGTAGAGAGAAGAGAAGAGAAGGCTGGGAGAAGGTTGGCAAACCTCTCTTGACCGGCTCCACTCTCGGCGGCGATAAATTCCCATTTCGAAGGTCCTAAATCGCCAACGAAGTGGGCAATACATGGCTGAGGTGAGGCGAGTCGAGAGCAGACCCGCAACGGACTCCAACCGTCACGTCGACAATTCAAACCGACGCGGGCTGGCAGGGTCAAATTGTTCAACCGTCAAAGGACAATTGGAGCATTTAGCCTACTGGGCACAGTAACTGATTTTTCACTTCTCACATTGCACTCAGGGGTCGCGGAAGTCAAGCATCGCGTGTGATAGTGACATGTAATATCAAAACATGTCGCGTTGTTAATGTTTTGATCTCTACTCTTCTTTTTAAAAACCATTTGACAATGGTTTTTTATGTATGATTTAGAAAAAAATTTTGCAATAAGAATTACTATGGCTGTAAACAGTTGTTGGCTATTTTTCCTCCCTTTTTCAACAAGTGGCGGTAAGTAGCAAGTTTGGGGACAGGATCTTCCGGCAGGTGCTCTTATCTATTGTGAGTGTTTTTACGGAAAGGAAATATGTAAATAAATATTTCTTTGAATTTTCTCTTGGTAATTCTGCCACATTAGCTACACCAATTTCAAGATCAAATTATACATCAGCTGCTTACAGCCCAAGCAAACTATTTCTGAAATATGAATTCCAGATGTAGTAGCTATTTTTGTATTGATTGGATTTCTTCACGCTACTATTAATCATGGCAGAAAGGTAAGATGAATTTTTGTAGTCAAAAGATTGCATTGTTTCTCGTTGAACATGCACTTACAAAGTATTTCATTTTGCAAAACAACTTTCTTTGCAGCAAGTGAAGCCGTTGAAACCGTTTCACTCTTTTATTTGATTTGAACTAGACTAGCCGGCAAAACTGTCGAATCATTAACAATGCGACATGTTTTGATATTACATGTCACTATCACACACGATGCTTGACTTCCGCGACCCCGGAGTGCAATGTGAGAAGTGAAAAATCAGTTACTGTACCCAGTAGGCTAAATGCTCCAATTGTCCTTTGACGGTTGAACAATTTGACCCTGCCAGCCCGCGTCGGTTTGAATTGTCGATGTGACGGTTGGAGTCCGTTGCGGGTCTGCTCTCGACTCGCCTCACCTCAGCCGTGTATTGCCCACTTCATTGGCGATTTAGGACCTTCGAAATGGGAATTTTGGTGATGTGAATGATGGAAAATGTGCGTTATTTATCAGGACATCTGTTTCTGGTGGAATTGCCTCCATGTCGCAAATGTCACGGAATTTATCGCCGCCGAGAGCGGAGCCAGTCAAGAGAGGTTTGCCAACCTTCTCCCAACCTTCTCTTCTCTTCTCTACTGTCATCTGGGCGAAAAACTGTCGCTCCAAAAAAGGCCTTAAACAGTGCCTAGGAGGTCTGAAATCCCGTCAGAATACAAAGAAAAACAAGAAGACGCTAAAGGTAAGCTTCAAAGTGATATTCAATGTACATTTTGGTAATTTAGTGAGCAAAGAATATTTCTCCATACAACGTCTTATAATTTTCTCGCTGTATGAATAATTAATTAGCTAAGTAGGATAATGTTGTTCCGGACTCTCATAGTGAGCTTGGGCTACCTGTGCTTGCCCCAGTTAAAAGATAGATAGTGCCATCCACCGGATAAATCTATATCAAGTGGATAAGTGTTTGGGGAAACTGATGTTTTTACGCTAGTCCTGCTTGATAATGATTTACAGTATTGTGTATCAGGTGGATAGCGTTATCCACCCTCTGAATAACTAAGGCCAACTGGTCCTTTGAAAAATAGTTCTCTTGTCGGTGTGCAACAAATGCAGACTGCAGACTGGCAGGTAAACGAGGCAAACATTGTTGTGAAATGCTTTAACAGATTCCCTATCCCTGAACTAGACTTTTAGAAGACTAAAGTGTAAGGATAAGGAATCCGTTAAAGCATTTCACAACAATGTTTGTCTCGTTTACCTGCCAGTCTGCAAGTCTGTAGTCTACATTTCTCGCACACCGTTCTCTTGGCCATGAAGTAAATACTTCATTGACCAAGCTTGTATGGGCAAGATTGCTGGATACTGGTCAAACTCGTTTATTGAATTTTTATTGACTTTGTTTTTAATGACCTCAGCTTTGTCTGGGTCAATAAGTACGCAAAGAACAACTTGGCCAATATCTACCCATCCCTCGCGCTTGGTGAATAATCCAAATATCTTGGTATAAAAGAGAACAGATATGAAACCATGGATAGTACAAATTAGTATCCATGATGAATGTTTTTTTATCACTTAAAGCAAAAGCTTTACAGCAAAACGACAATCATCATCACATTATAGGGCACGGGGAATATTTCGACGTTCTTTAACGAACTGTCTAACGGCGAATGGATAATACTTTAGTTAAACACAATTTTTATACTTTGCACTACAAAGCGAATGAGACTGCGATGACACCCGACCTGTTCAAGGTGGAGTAAATACCCTTAACTTACCGCAGTTTCTGAACATTTGCAACAGGAAGGTAAATCTTTAAGTTAAATTTCTTACCATTCCCGTAGATTCTAGCCTCGCTAAGACTCTGTACTGTACAGTACTTCCGGGTGGACGGCTACATATCAGTTGAACTCTGGAATAAACATTTGATTCTCCAACCTCGACCCATCGGTTGATATCGTAGGAAAACACGATCGCACGACATTCAACTAACGCTTGTTCGGTGGGTAAGTGGTATAGTGATTGAGCCATGCGAGTTTGAAGGCATTTAAGATGAACTTGTTCTACGGGTAGTTAGAAATTCATTCAAATAAAAGGCGATAACGAAAGTAAAAGTAAGAAGGGCGATCCATTGCGATGGAGCGGGCAATGCATGGCGGAAGCTGCTAATGAAGCGCGCAGGGAGTTATGGTCTAGGGGGACTCCCCGTTTTCGCATCAGCGAAACGCAGCGTCCAATACGGTCCAATACCAGTTCGCCAAGATGTTGTCATTTGCCACAAACAGGCTCTTGATAAGAATTAGGTCAGCCAGGCGTTTTTGGATCAAACGAATGGGTTTCGGTATTTTTAAAAACTGAAGCAACAAGGAAAAATATCCTGGGGTAATTCCAAACGTGCTAGAAAACCCGTGACAAAAATAATGAAAGACAGGTAAAATCGGGTCCTGGTTTACCGATCAATTAATCATTTAACAAAAACTGAGGAACTTTGTTCGACGTTTTGATGTTTCTAACATCATTATCGAGAATGAACACTGTAAGTGTCAAAGTTGTTAGAAACATCAAAACGCGTGGAATAACGTTCCTCAGTTTAATTTTCCTAGTTTTAAATGCTTTACTAATGCAAGCAACTGACCATCCGATCAATTAAAATAAGAGCCTTTTCACTCACGTGGCCAGCATCTATGCAAATTTATGGGAACAAAAGAAGCGTTTACATCAGAAAAGAGTCCAACTCCCAAAGGATTGGTGTGGAACACCAACATGACCAACATGGCCGCCGTTTTATTGTTTTGGAACACCAATAAGGCCGCCGTGACGTCATGTGAAAACACTCCATAATTAAAAATTATTTGATGAGGCTGAATAATGATGTGAAGCTGTTACGCAAATCGAAGGTTTTGCTATGCCGCACCGAGGTCCGGTATTATTTTATTATTAAATTCATTTAAAACAAGCTTAGCTCAAATCGTGATGGCCAAAATCTAAAATTTCCGTCTTCAAAAAATTTACATGTACCTGTCTCCGCTAAATTAGGATATATGAAGGGAAGTTTATTCTCACAAATATTATAGTACTTGGGCTTTTTCGACCGATTGTCCCATCATTTTGTCTTCGCATAACCAGAGATCAGGCTCTATTTTAGTTTCGGTTAGTAAAAAAAAATTAATAACCGGTGACGTAAGTAAAATACCAGCCGCTGATCGGGGAGTCGAGCCCGCTCCCATATATAGCCCGGACGCTTCTGTTCCAGACGGGTGGGTACAACCCAAGAAGTCCGAAGACCTAAGACCCAAAACCGAAGAATCTCGTCAAAATCACTTGAAAACAGCTCAAACTATTGAGAGTAAGAAATAACAAGATCTTAAATTATCAATGAATTTGGCCAGGGTCTTCGTTGTCTATACCCCGCGAGCAGAGGCTACATTCTCGCGGTATCGGCTGGCGTGCAAAAAGTAGCCTCTACCGACAGGCTACATTTTCGCCTACATAGTAGGCTACAATTTCGCTGTATCAGCTGGCGTGCTACTTTTCGCACGCCAGCTCATACCGCGAATGATGTAGCCTCTGCTCGCAGGGTACGTTGTCTACAAAACCCCACCGAAAATAGCAAACGAAGACCCGCTCCCCTCCCTCAAAATTAATCCGGCTTGGCAGGAAGCTTTATCATATTGGGCGCACGATAGCCGTTTTCAAGTGTTTTGAGTGGGGCGGGGTCTTCGTTTACTACTTTAGGCAGGGTTTTGTGGAAAACAAAGACCCTGGTCAAATTCATTGATAATTGAAGATCTTGTTGTCTCTTAGCAGGGTTAAGGGCTCCTGCTCTTAGATAGAGATATCCTTTTTCAAAAAATTTCGCGTTTTTTCTTCCCTCTTCCCATTAGGTTGCATCCTCGGAGACCCAGGGGCAGATAGTGGGGGCGAGGGAAAGTCTAAACGGGTGGAAAAATATGGCACGAAGAAAAGTAAAGAAATACGAGAAGAGCCCCTAGGGACAATGTCTTACCAGACCAGTTCCAAACGGTCGTCGCCGTTCTGTCTTCTGATTGGGCAGAAAAACATCTTTACTTTTCTTCGTGCCATATTTTTCCGATAGACCCGATAGACCTTCCCTCGCCCCCACTATCTGCCCCTGGGTCTCCGAGGATGATTAGGTTGATGCTCTAACTCACTCAATCCTTCCCATGATCCACAGCGCGAATAAAAGAGAAGCAACTGAGTAGGAGTCTGAGACTTACAGAAAATCACCACGGCGTTTAATTGAGTAAATACGGTAAGACGGCTTAACAGTTTCAACAATACGACTCTAGATTGTCAGAGACCAAGCGACAGAAGGATCTGATGGTCGACATCGTGAGGGGAGGGAAAGTAAAATGAAAAAAAAAAAAAATAAGTTTTTGTGAATTTGCGGCTCTGCAACAGCACAAAATATCGGAAGCCCTGACTATGAGCTGCGTCATTTACATTATACAAACTGGCGACTAAAAATTTGCATCTGGCGACTATATTTCTCCAGTAGGTCGCCAAAAGGCGACCTAAGGATTTTTTTAATTTCGAGCCCTGCACATGGTCATACTCATCTCTTAAAACAGCTGAGCCTCATTTCACATGGGAAGACTTACTTCAACAGATTAAACACGCAGCTAAGATGAAGAACATGTAGTTAAGGACATCTCAAGGAACAACCTAAGTCCCTAGATTTTAGCAGATAAACAAACTTTCATCATTAACAGTATAACTATTCAATGTCCTTACCAATCTGTGATTCTAAATCACGTCTTGTCTGTGCACGTCCTCTATCCACCTGAGGGGAAGGGTCTGGAGTTCTAAATACTCCTGCAGTTGCTGGCACAGTAGGTAAGGCACCTGTTGTAAAGGTATCAGGGGTTTTGGCCAAGTTGGTTGGTCCTGAGTACCTACAGATTAAACATGGATAAGCAAAGAGACAATGAGACAACAAGTAGCCAACATGAATGTTGATCACAGTCTTGCTTTTTTAACCACCACGCCTTGTTTGAGGGCAAAATTCCTTGCATTTGCACAAGCAGTATGTAGTATCTCTGACAACTCATTATCTGCATTTGAAGTTTATTATGTTGAAACCTCATAAGTTCACCATTAATGTGAAATTTGAAGGTCTGAAGTAACTATGTATAAGGGCTATTCCTGCCTTAATTTAACCAACTGCAGTACCTGGTGCCTAAATTAAGTTTAGTATTTCAGTGCACAGGGGATGGGGTATTAGGGACCTTCTCAGTTTCACATCGCAGTTTCCAATTCAGTGTTTGCTCTTGCAATATGCATAATTTTCTGTTCTGTTTTATTCTCCCTGCCCTTGTTTTTAGTTTTGCTGTAGTAGTCCATGTGTGGATTAGTGCAGTTTCTTGAATATTCTAAATGAAGTACATGGACGAGGATGTTCAAAGTTCTTTTGTTTTAGTGAAAGCTGATTATGTGATGCCCTTTCTGATCACAGAGGGCTACAGTTTTTTTGTTCACAGTGATTTTGCTGTGTTTTTGTAGGATCTGCCTCTAAGCCCCCACTTCCCAATTTCATCAGGGAAAAAATAAACACTGTCATAATTGCAGGCATAGCCTTAAAACTTGAATGTCCATCCTTGCCATCTGTTGCAACAGACTAAAGGAAACAGTTTCAATGCCTAATATAGTCTTACATAACAGAACTGGACCATTATTTTTTAGAGTGCAATTGACATGGGGATACGTTTTAGCCTTTTAAAAAGATGGCAAATAGCATGACAATCCCTAAAATAGCATGACAATCCCTACTCCCCAACCTACTACATCTTTAGAGCTTAACAAAGAGCATCACTTTTCACACAGGAGTATTCTAATTACCTTGCAAAGAGCGAAGGGTATGCTGTATTATGACAGCAAAATTGTTCCCATCAGTATCGGGACTGATGCGCAGACCATAATACAGTCCTTGCAGGTCAATACGTATTTGATGCCATGAAGGTTCAGTTACATGGTAAGTTACCCGCTCAGATAAAGGAATGTTAATCGTCACCTACACAGAGGAAAATAATACAAGAAACTTAGTGCAGTCTCCTTTAAATTTATATATAGAAGTAGCACCCATAATCCCAAGATTGCTGGATATTGGTCAATGTTTTTAATGACCTCGACTTTGTCTGAGTCAATAAGTACGCAGAGAACAACTTCGCCAATATCTACCCATCCCTCGCACTTGGTCAATAACGCAAATATCTTGATGTAAAAGAAAACAGATATGAAATCATGAATAGTATCTAACTTAGAATTCATGATGAATGTTTTTTTTTTCACCTAAACAAAAGCCTTATAGAAAAACGAAAATCATCATCACCTTGAAGAGCACGGGGAATTTCGACGTTCTTTCAAGATCTGTCTAACAGCGAATGGATAATGCTTTGGTTAAACACAATTTTTACCCTTTACACTACAAAGCTTACTAGATGGAAGAAGACTACAATGACACCCTGTTCAAGGTGGAGTAAATACCCGTAACTTACCGCAGTTTCTGAACATTTGCAACATGAAGATATATTTTTAAGTTAAATTTCTTACCGTTCCCGTAGATTCTAGTCTCGCTAGAACTTTATACACTGCAGTACTTCCGGGTGAACGTATGCATATCAGTTGAATTCGCGAATAAACGTTGTGCTCACCCACCTCGACCCATCGGTTAATATCGTGGGAAAACACGATCGCACGACATTCAACTAACACTTGTTCGGAGGGTAAGTGGTATAGTGACTGAGCCATGCGATTTTGAAGGCATTTAAGATAAACTTGTTCAACGAGAAGCTATAAATTCATCTAAATAGAAGGCAATAACGAAAGTAAAAGTAAGAATGGCGATCCATTAGGTCGGAGCGCAGGGCATGGCGGAAGCTGTAATGAAGCCCGCAGGGAATTATGGGCTAGGGGGACTCCCCGTTTCGCATTAGTGAAAATCAGCGTCCAATACCAGTTCGACAACAAGATGTTGTCATCTACCACAAAACACGCTCTTGACAAGAATTTGGTGAGTCAAGCGTTTTTTTCGGTATTTTTCAAAACTGAAGCAACGTATAAAAATATCGTGGGGCAATCCCAAACATGCCAGAAATCCCGTGACAAAATGAAAGAAATCTAGATCCGTCAAATTCGTATAATAGACTGCCTGTACAAACCGATCAATTATTAATTTATATTTTAATACGAAAAATTAAACTGAGGAACGTTATTAGACGCGTTTTGATATTTCTAACAACTTTGACACTTTTTAAGTCGTCAGAAACGTCAAAACGCGCGTCTAATAACGTTCAGTCAGTTTATTTTTTCTTGTTATGCTTTAACAATGAAAGCAACTAACCATCCGATCAATTAAAATAATATGAAATTATTTGACAAGGCTGAATATGATGTGAAGATATTTGGCAAATCGAGGATTGTGCAATGCCCCACCGAGGTCCAGTATTTCTTTATTAATATATTCATTCAAAACAGGCTTAGCTCAAAACATGATGGCCTCTTATAAAATTCCCGTCATCAAAAAATTAGCCTGTGAAAAGGCTCTCTGTTTAAGCAAAGGCTGAAAAAAATCGAGAGGAGAGGGAAAGGAAAGGGTGTCACCCTTTAATTTCCCTTCCCTCTGCTAGGCATTTTTGACCCTTTCCCCAAACAGAGAGCCTGTTCACAGGCTATCAAAAACTTTACGTGTACCTATCTCCGGCAATTTAGGATATATGGAGGGAAGTTTATTCTAAAAAAATATTAAATTACTTGGGCTTTTTCAAGCGTTTTGTCCCTTCTAGCTATGTTTTTGCGGCAGTGGTTTGGCCATTTCGTCTTCCCATAACCTGAGATCAGGCTCTATTTTAGTTTAGGTTTGTAAAAAAAGTCCCGGTCAGTAAAATACTAGCCGTTGATCGGGGAGTCGAGCCCGCTCTCATATATAGCAGCAGAGGCACCCAAAGGGAGATTTTGAAAAAAAAGACCTAAGAACAACAACAAAAGCATGAATAAAGCTTTTTGAAGCCATTTTAAGCATTTTGGGAGATTGCTGGAAAAAATTTATCTGTTCCTCACTCCCAGCAAGGCAATAGAAGAGTTCCCAGCCTGCAAGGTGCACCTACAACCTGCAACCTTACTTACTGCCGAGTCTACCAGTAGACTACTGGTCAGATTGGGAAAAATTCAGGGTGGAGACTAGATTGGAAAATGGGCGTGGTCGAAAGGCGAAATTTACACCTGGGGGTGGGGGGGGATGGGAAAAGGTTTCTGACAAAAAACACATAGCAGCTACTCTATACATCAAATCCCCTCAGACATCCTGAATTGTCTCTATAGCAACACTTTCCTTCCAAGGGAATTTTTTTTCCAAATTTCCCAGCCCGCAAAACTTTGCCTGAAGAACAGATATTTTGAGAAACAGATCCATTGGGTGCCCATGTAGCTGGAACGCTTCTGTTCCAGACCGGTGGGTACAAAAAAAAAAACTGAAGACCTAAGACCCAAAAATTAAGAATCTCGTCAAAATCACTTGAAACCAGCTCGAACTGCTGAGAGTAATAAACATCAAGATCTTAAATTATCAATGAATTTGAGTGGGGTCTTCGTTGTCTGCAAAATCCCACCCAAAACAGAAAACGAAGACCCGCTCCCCTCCCTAAAAATCACTTGCATGACAAGAAGTTTTATGATATTGAGCGCAAAATAGCCGTTTTCAAGTGATTTTGGGTGGGGAGGGGGAGTTACGCGGGGTTTTGTCGAAAACATAGTCCCTGGTCAAATTCATTGATAATATTGAAGGTCTTGTTGTCTCCTATCAGGGTTATGGGCTCCTGCTCTTAGATGAAAATAACCATGTTAAAAAAAAAAAGCGTTTTTTTCTTCCCCTCCTTTCCTTAGGTTGATGCACCGCTGACTCACTTAATCCTTCCGATTCACAGCAAGAAATACAGAGCAAAATCAACTGGGTAGGAGTCTGAGACTTACAAGAAATCACCATGGCGTTTAATAGAGCGTTTCCACTCACGTGGCCAGCATCTGTGCTAATTTATTGGAACAAAAGAAAGCATTTACATGCGAAAAGAGTTAAACTCTCAGAGGATTTCGTTGGTACACCAACATGGCCGCCGTTTCATTGTGTTGGAACACCAATATGGCCGCCGTGACGTCATGTGAAAACGCTCTATTGAGTAAATACGGTAAGACGGCTTCAGAGTTTCAACATTACGACTCTTAGACTATATTCTCAGAGACCAAGCGACAGAGGGATCTGATGAAAAAAAGGTCGACATCGTGACGGGCGGGAGAGGAAAATGAAAAAAAAAAAAATGCAAAATGCGACACTCCTCAGTGCACTTTTCTCCTCAATATTTAGCCGTTGTTTTCTCTCCGCAAGGTTTGGTCTAACTTTCCTCAGTTATCTCCTTGCATTTTTAGCCTCAGGGGTAACTGAGGTTGCACAAACAAAACTTGAAGATCGCGAGCAGGATCAGGCAGAGAAACGGTCGTAAACACCTTATTCTTACTAATCTTCGCGAGTATTAAACTTCGCGATTTTCGCGATTTTAAAAAATTGCAAAAGATTGCGCGAAATTTAAATTTTGTCCTGTGCACATTTACTGAACATCTCAAGTTGCGTTTTAAGCACTGAACTGTATGATATACATTGTATAGACAGCATACACAGCAAGCAGTTATGTTTTGTCTTGTTTATAAGGTTCTGTGTAGGGCAGTTGTAAGTTTACAATCTTGCTTTGAAATAAATATGTTTTATTGATTTGTGAAAAATGCCCTCTGCTCCGGATTTACCAAAAATAAACAAAGACAAAATCGCCAAATTCAGCACGCTTTTTCTCTAATTTTTGTTGCAATCGCGAAAATTAGTACTCGCGAAATCCGGCTCCTGGATAGTAGCGAAATTAGGTACGCGCGAAAATTAGTAAGAATAAGATAAGAGTTTACCCGTCTTCTGTGGGCGACTGTTCTCATCAAAATCAGTAACTCCTTTAAAAAGAACAATAATAAAATTAAAAAAGGTTAACCACAATCGTTTTTAATAAAGGTTGAAAAGAGTTCACGTTCAATACTACCGTAACCTAACTGAACGGAATATTTTTGTTTAACTTTTCGTCCTCGCTGTCAGCAATAACAAGCAAATAAATAAAACGCCGTATTGACCAGCTATTTAGCGAGGCCAAATTTAGCGACAATTTCCAGCGCAAGACCACGAACAGCACCGCTTTCGGCATTAGAGGAGTCAGACGAGTTTATAATTTGTTGGAGAACATCGACGAGAACTTGTGCGTCCCCTTTTAAATCATTTGGCTGCCCATTTGATGACAGCAGCCTTTTGATTATTCTCAAGAGCTGTTTTTGTTTCTTGACGTCAGCGGTTTTCAAAGCCTCTGCGAAATACTCCATGTTTTCGACACTCAAGGCGTCCTCGTATATCGCGCCAAACAGTTCCACCATAAGATACAAGCACCGACAGGCATTGTCCCTAACATCCGGGTCTTCATGACAGAGAAAATTTATAAGCACGCCAGTCATTTCGACCAACGGTTTACTCTCAACAAGAAATTTCTCCGCCAACAGAGTTTGACCAGAATTTTCGGTTGCAGACTCGGTTTTAGACTGAAGAGCTTTGCGAACTTCTCTGGAGACGAACTTCAATGTGTTGTTCAAAGCATCGAGTAGCGGAATCAACATGGCTGCTGCGGAATCACTCCCAGGGGAATTTTCATCGTTTTGACTTTCCGCTACGTCAACAAAGAGAGAGACGAGGCTGTCAATCAAGCCCTGGTTGTACAATGAAGACACGTCGACATCTTTAGCCGAGACCAAACAGTCCAGTAAGCCCACTACACTCTGTGCCATGCTCCTGTCGAGCTGACCGGCGTGGGACTGGAGGGTCTGGGATATAGTGACCAGAAGCTCCTGTTTGATGACCGTGTGAATGATGTCAGGACTTCGCTCAAGAAAGGATAGCAACAGCTTTAGGCCGTACGCGGGTAAAGGATCCTGGTCTTGAAGAATAAGGTGATACTGGGGTAGCAGATGATCACTGATGACCTGTTGAAAAGAAAAAAAAATACAAGAAGGAGAAAACGATTTTCCAAAACGCTCCAAATGTCAGGCTACTGTATATCCATTCCTTGGTCCATTGTGGTTAAACAGGGAGCGCTTTTTTATTTATTTATTACAGATTTACTCCACTGCATAACAAGCAAATAATGAAATGAAATAAGCTAACACTACTTTAACAAACAAACAAACGAAGAAAAAAAAAAAAAAAAAAA